AAGATACATGGTGTAATCAGAAGAGGTGCTCAGGTTACAAATTCAGCAGAGAAGTGAAGACAGTGATTTGTAAGGCAGCAAGGATAAGAACATGCAGACTGGTTTCTCTTGGAACTCAGATTACGCTGCTTCAGAAAAGAGACTTGCGGACTCAGCAAGGTCCTGTGTCTGGAAAGGAAGGGGTTATAGAAAGTGTGTAAGATTCCAGAGCCTGGATTTTTGCTTTCAAGTTAGAGACACTAAAACTCAAACCATGAGATTAGTACTATTTTACTTAAAACAACAACAACAACAATACTCTAGGTTTGGGAGATTGTTGATTTAAAAATGTGACTATGGTAAGTTACTTTTAACCTTTGGTTTTTTTTTTTTTAATTCCCCTGTTTCATGTAGAGCTCCTCCTCCTCTGGCTGGGGAATAAGTGGTTTCTGTCATATGATTGGTTATAGCTCACAGTTACACAGTCTTTTTTTAGTTGTGTTGACAGAGCAGATGTCAGAGTCCATTAGTACAGTTGTCTATTTTATGTTGGAATTGTAGCCAACATTATAGCCTTCCTTGTCTCGGGATATTTCATTAATTTCAGAGATCTGGTAGGCAAACTTGATTATCATTGCCTTTTCCCCCCTTCACTATCATTTATGATTAATCCTAAGCCTAGGTTCATTTCCTTTTTAATTTTCCTTTTTAATTTTTTCTCTTGTCTGTGGAGGGAACTAACTGGTGGGTGAAGGCTTACTGTTAATACAGAACCAATGTAAATTTCAGAGTGATTATGAAAAAAGTTGCAATTTGTTTTTCAGTAAAAGGCATTCACTAACTTGGCCAAGTTCTATCTAGTATTTTAACCTATAACTTTAAGATATTTAAAAACGGAAAAAATAAATATATTGCAATACAGGTAATTGTAAATGAACAAGTAGCATTTACAGATGTGCTATTAAAATATTCAAATATTTAGTGACAGGTCTGTTTAACTATTTACTATAATGAGTCTGTAGCATAAGACCTCTAAGTTAATGACTAAAAGTTAAAAAGTTAGGAAAAATTGTCTGTTATTGAGCAATATTAGCTTATTTTTAAGTTAAAAAATCATAGCATCTGAGTGACTTTCTTCCAATAAGAAGAAATAATTTTGTTAATTCTATAATTTTATGTGTAGATAGGAAGATATAAAATAGTTAAAATTTTTCTTGTTGTTGCTACTTTGAAGTTAACATTTTGACAGAGCTCCTTCAATTAATACAAGCTTCTTCTGTGACACAAAGCTAAGTGTTTAAATAAAATGACTAAATTTATTGTACTCATTGTATTAAAGGGAATTCTGTGTTTCATGGAGTCTTTTGATTTTAAATACAATAATACATACTTGTTTTAAAATTTAGATAGAAAAATTCCTTTGGAGAATACCACAAACTGGGTAGTTTTGGTTTAAAATTACTTTCTTGATATGTTACCTTTTTCAGAGTTTACTTTAAAAGTACTCATATTTAGATATAGATGTATATAGGGAATGGCACGATAGTACAATAAAAATATGTAATATTCAGTGCTCTAATCAGAGTAACTTCACATTTGACTATCCTTAAAGTAACTTTGTAGATATCTGAAGAAAATGTAAATGTAGCTTAGCAGATTTAAGTTCTGTGGAGTTTTCAGCCAGTTGAAAACATTGCTAATTCCTTCTTAGTCCCAGTTGTTACTGTGAGGGATATAAATGTATTTCTGAGAGGCAGAATTACTAGCAAATGGAAAATATAGGAGAAAATCGCAGAATGCTAAGTGATGACAGAGATAAGGTTCAGAGTATGAGTTTAGCCTAGTTTCAATAAGACAATAATGATGGCAATGTAATAATAAAAAATTACAAACATTTATAACAAGTAGACAAATGTCTGTTTCCATATACTGAAATAACCTTTGTTGGTTTAATGTGCTTAGTCATGACAAAAACCAGATAAAATATGAGTTGCTTTTTTAGTTCATAGGATTTTGAGAGGTTATATTCCAAGTTCTTTGTAACAGGCAAGTCAGGATTTTTTTTCCAAATTCTTTATTGTGATTAAGTGATTACATAGTTTCCCAAATTTCACAGAATTGTGGGATAGTGATGCTTAGTTAAAATCACAAACACATTCTAACTTTCATGGGGCAAGTTGTCTATCGTAGTCTATAACATTTGTGAGTTCTGTGAGCTTTGCAATACAGTTATTTCTTCCACATTGGGTGATATGTACATTTCTTTTGTTTTTCATAGCTGTTCCCTGTTTCCCACTTGTTCCCTCCCTCCCATTGCTGCCATTGAGTTGCTTAGTTCATTTTGATCAATGTCCAGTGTAGCTGATGGGTCCCCCTGTTGTATGTTTTTCCCTGATTCCCTCTAGTTCTGTGTCCTCCTCCTGGTTTTCCTTTGGTGTGCACATATATACTATATATGTGATCAGCAGCATGGGTTATTTAGTGGTGATTCAACCAGATGAGTGGAAATCCTTTGTCTCTTAAGTCTTGTTAATTTTGTTGTATCACCCTACGTTTTGAATTTAGCATCCACTTATCAGGGAGACCATGTCCTCTTTGTCTCTTTGCTCTTGGCTTACCTCGCTCAACATGATTTCTTCTAGCTCCATCCATTTCCCTGCAAATGCCGTTATTTTGTCCTTTCTAATGGCTGCATAATATTCCATTGTGTATAGATACCACAAGTTTTGGATCCATTCATCTGTGGTTGGATGTCTGGGTTGTTTCCATATCCTGGCTATTGTGAACAGTGCTGCAATAAACATGGAGGCGCATATGTCCTTGTATACTGGTTCCTGTTGTTCAGGATAGATGCCTAGAAGTGGTATGGCTGGGTTATAAGGGAAGTCAATATTTCTGAGGACTCTCCAGACTGCTTTCCAAAGTGGTTGTATAAGTGTACATTCCCACCAGCAATGTAATAGGGTTCCTCTTTCTCAGCATCCCCTCCAGCATTTGTCATTGGCTGAGTTCAGGATGTGGGCCATTCGGCAAGACAGGATTTAAATCATAGATTCTATTACTCTTGAACATTACACTTTGGCATAATATAACTTGAATCACACCTAAACAGTGCCTTTATCTCTAACACTCAATTCTTTACAATGCCAGGCTACATTCTTCAGTGTCTAAGTAGCCTTGGGTCCTATTGTGGCTCTCATACTCAACTATATCCAGATAGACTTTGACACACCTTATACAATATCATTGCTGACTCATGACCCATCTGTCTAAAACACTACATTATCTTCTTGCCAATTTCTTTTTCCCCTTTCCACCTTTGCTAAATTGGCATTTGTTAACTACAGAGAAATTTCTTCTCATCTCTTTATATTAGTCAAACCAATGAATCAAATTTCTTTTCCCCCAATTGTCCTTTTCCGGGAATTATTTTTGGTGCCAACAAGTCTAAAGGGCTTTATTCATAAGTGTACTAAAAGAGTGAGTATATCCTTCAGTTCATTATTCTTATTTTTGTGTATTAGTCAAGAGATCTTACCAGTAAAGTACTCCCTGTATAATAGAATGCAATGTAAATTGCTGATATAATTTAAATTGAATGGTTAAATTGAAAAGGAGAGATAAACAAAATTAATATTAATGTGAATGTAAAATTAACATATTATTAACAATTTTATTTTGCTAATATATCACAAAATAACATTTCAATTTATAAATATAAAAATTACATTTTTTGATATTCCAGAGTGGATTTTATACTCATATCTTTTTCTATAATAGCAATATCTCAACTACACTGTAGCCAATGCTTGTAAAAGACTACACCATAGTGGAATTCACAACTTCAGTATTCTTGGAGAAATTGTGATGAAATCAGGAGAATATAGTCAGAACTATTATCAAACTCATCATCTGTCCTTTATTACCTGAAAATGGGTAATTTACTCAGTGTCTGTGGTGCTTAGAATCTTGTTTTCAAGGTTTTGAAAATGTATATATGCTATATATCTTATATGTTATATAATTTCTGATATAGTGTTCATTTATTTTATAAAATGAGGACATAACCCATACCTTATTAATATGCTGCACAAAACCCAGAACTTACTTTGTATATTACAGCTATTTATTGAGCATATAACAATATCATGCCAATCATTTGCCACATTCTATTCATATTAGATCTAAAGCCTAACTTTAAAATGCTTGTTTCAGAAAATAGTAAACTTGCACATTCTGACATATTTACAATAAGTATTAAATATCTGTAATATTGTCCTATCCCACTACAGAGGAATTAATTATGCTTGAGAATATATGGGTAAGTTTCATATAAAAGTAGCTTCAGTTGAATGTGTATCACAGACAAAGATGGTGGAGGGGAATCATAGAGGAAAAAAAGAAAACAGTTGAAATCTCAACCTGTAGTATATAAAACTGTCTAAAATATGAGAAACATCTATATAAATATGCATAAAATCTATATGTTGACCAAACGTGCCTAGTTTGTGATTGGCTGAAAAAAAGCAAAAGTCTATAGCACTTTTAATACTCTTCCTTACAGTTGGCACTTTCTCATCTCCTTCATTTTAATAAATACATCTAGTTTTTAAACTTCAAATGGTGTACAAGGGGATTTCAATGTAGCATGTTCATTTCTATGTATAGTCCTTAATCAGAGTCATCCTTTTAATTATCCCCTTTAATAAGATTTTAAGCATAAACTTAACTACCTCTAATTATAACTTCTATTACTAGGGGAAATAAGAAAATAAACTTCTTATTCTTATTGAACAATGAGCATATGTATTATATGTAAATCTCAGATGTATGAAAACTTAATGTTCATTCAATGTAAAAAACCTCATGAGTTTAAGAAGCCATTTAGGCTGGCGTAGGGGTACTTTATGAATGCGCCAACACTATTGCTAATAGTGCTTTTCAGATTATGAATATACTGCTCATATATTTATTGTAACAAATACAGTGTTTTGCTCTTTTTTTTCTAGAATGTATTCTGACAACTGCAAAGCAACATGAAGTTCTTTCTGTTGCTGTCAGCCATTGGACTCTGCTGGGCTCAGTATTCCCCCAATACTCAAGTGGGGCGAACATCTATAGTCCACCTGTTTGAGTGGCGCTGGGCCGACATAGCTCAGGAATGTGAACGGTATTTAGCCCCCAATGGATTTGGAGGGGTCCAGGTGAGTATTACAGGATAAATTTCAAGGTTCAATAT